GATCAGGATGCGGTCATTTCTTGCTGAAGAAACCCTTGGACACCCAGATCTTGGTTTGTCTTCCAAGCTGTTGGTTCGTCTGTATTTCTGCAGAGTGTATCCAACTGCTGAAGGAATGCATCTGCACTTCCTGGCTATCTGGCGGCAGCTGTACCCTTCCTGGCTGAGAATCTTTATCTTCAGGTGTGTTTCCTGCGTTAGGTTCCTTGTTTTAGCCATTTTTGTGTCTGAAGAACTTTCAAATATGCTGGCTTTATGTAGACACGAAGCTTGGCAACAAAAATTGTGTCTTTTAATAAAAAGAACGACCTTCATCACTGGTACCAAAATTACCCAATACTCAAAATTTCTTATGTATTTTTATGGAACCAATCAATTTTAAGTTTTTAATGGCTTTTTTAGGATTTAATTAGTATTTTGGCTGTGACTGTACTAAAAGAAATTGCACTTGAAGACCTAAGAGTGATTCTTAATGCAATATTTCACAAATGCATGGGGTGTCCGCAAACGTTTTTCCACCACTGCATTTTTGGCTGGAGTTTGTAATATCGTGTGATCACAGTGTGTGTGTGTGTGTGGTTGAATGAGAGAGAAACAGTGATGGTAGATGTATGAAAAGATTAGCAGGAAAGTTGTCATGTGGGACACAGTGTAGGTTTCAGCTTGTTGAGTAAATGCTTCGGCTCATCACAGTGAGCATCAACTTTGGCCCTGGAGACAAAAAGTCCTGAAGAAAGTTATCTTGCTCTGTTTTTGGTAAGAACAACACATGATGCTGTGTTAATGGTCATAACTGGTCCGGTATGACCTCTAAACATTTAATCAGTAGCGGTAATAGCAGTTGTAGATATCATTTGCTTTTTTGACGCATTTCCATGATGCAGCACATCTATTCTTGTTACTTCTATTGTGATGAAAGCTGTTTCCTGTGTAGGAAATGTGGGAAAATGCATCAGATTCTAAAGCCATGCAATCTATGCATGGAACATAATTTACATATGCAAAATTCAGTTTCTTTTTTTTTTACTTCCTCCTCTTTGAATGCATCGTGGGAAATCACCTTGCTCCTCTGACTGACTGACACAGTTGCCATCCTCACTGGCTCAGTGCACAACGTTCAGCTTCTCTGTCAGCAAGTTTGCAGCATGGAACAACTCAACTCCTCTGTGGTCACTTCTAACATCTCCTCCTCTCCTGATCATCCACCTCCTGCCTCCTGGGACTCCAGAGGTCTGGTCCCTGCGGTGGTGCTGTCTGTCTGCTTCCTGCTGGGAGTTCCTGGAAACATTGCTGTGATCATCCTCAGACCAAACTGGGAGAACATGTCCAGTCTGAGCCAGATTCTGATGCTGAATTTGGCCATATCAGACCTGCTCTGTCTGATCACCCTGCCTCTGTGGATTTACTCTTTACTGTTCAGCTGGAACCTCGGCCTGGTGACCTGTAAGCTCCTGTGCTCTTGTGTTGTGCAGCATTTATAGTAGCATGCCTTCAACGCTACCTACAGGTGGTGCGCCAGAGGTGCTTTTGGCCTATCATATCATAAATGTGCTTGATTTGGCAGGTGTTTTACTCAAAAACGAGAGCCTGTTGAAGTTTTTTGTGGACAGCAGGGGCATTGCCTTATCACTGACATATGCAAATAGCTGCCTGAATCCACTCCTTTATGCGTTTGCTTCTAGAAACGTGCACAGTGTGCCAACAAAGGGAACATTAATGCTGGTTTTAAAGCAGAAGCTCACCTTTCCTGGAAGTCTGATCATTTGATGTAGTATGACTGATGAAAAGCCAAAGAAAGACACCTGAAGGAGCTGAGGATGAGACTTTTCAGAAAACTTTGAACAATTGTAGAAGTGAAGGTTCAGGTGAAAGAGGACAAAGTGAAGGAAAAAAGATGCTGCAGGGAAAATTGATATCCTTCTGTTGGGATTCACTGGACCACAGATGATTTGTCATTAAATCTAAACTAGACATGTGAAAGCTCTTCTCTGGGTCTTGCCATCTGAAATGGTAAGAGACCGCATTTTCTTTGTTCTTCAAACAAAGGACAGTCATTTGGGATTCATCTCCACAGGGTGTCTCGTTGTGACACCTAAGTGAGAGACCAGTCGTCAAACTTGATTGGACAGTTCTTTCACAGTGACATATGACTCTGTGATGTCACCAAACAATGTTTAGGAGAAGTTCTGCTCTCTTCACTCTCTCTGCCCTCTTTCTCCTGAGCTGCTGACAGGCTCTTGCTCCCAAGACTCTCTTGTTCTCTTTCTCCTGGACCACAACCCATTCATGCTCACAGCAGGAGCGGAACCTGGAGACCAATTAAGTTAATATGCCAGACACAAGTTTTGCAAATAACTTTCCAGCAACAAGGAGAACCAAGTTGAGTTAGCACCTCAGCATCTAGCCCTGCAAGGACACTGAGCTACCTGCCTCCTCAGATCTGCACCTTTGGAACAAGGACACAGCAAAGACTGCTTCTGGAACCGCAGCTCTTTCCAGCCTTCATCTGCCAGCTAACAAAAGCAGCACACCACCAAGTGACTCTTTCTTCCATCCATTCCAGGATCGGTATTGTAACGACTGGGCATAGCATCATTGCAGTTGTACAAGCTAAGCAAGACTTACTTTTTCAGTTGTAATCTATTGCTGTTATTGAGTTGGTGCTGTGATTGTTTGCAGTTATGTTATTGGGTAGTTGGCTCTACCAAAGCTAGGTGATGTTAGTTTGCTGTCAAAGACAGAGTTTTGCATGCAACTTAACAGCCTAACCAAGACCCTTTGCAACATGTTTTGCATACACATACTCACTCACAAGTTGGCTTTCAACAGAGCTACACCCAAAGAGGCAACACAAAGTTCCTGCTTCTTTTCCTTTGTCTTTGTCCAAATCCTCCCCCAATCTGAAGCCATCTTTGATTCCGCCATCTTGAAGTCCTCTGTTGTCAGCCATTTTGTTTTGTTGGCCAGACGGCCCTTTGTTTCACACACTCATCCTTTTGTCTCTTTCTCTCACACATACAGACACACACAGACACACACAGACACACAGACACAGACACAGACACAGACACACACACACACACACACACATATTTGTATATAGTTAGTTAGAATTTGTGTGTTTTGTTGCTTTGCTTTCTTTATGAATGAATATGTTTGGAAGTCATACCTGCTGCCTTTTCAGCGTTGCACAAAAGTGAATGAATAGTCAATCTCTGCTTTGTCAGGAACTCCGAAATCCTTCAACCAATATTATTAATATGGCAATTTTTGTGATAGTTATTAATTTAATTATTAATCAAATTTTCAAATTGATAGTTTAGTGAATTTATGAGACCTGTTTTATTTACCAGCTATTGATTTTCCCTCATGGTGCCCCATGAGGTGATTTAATGTAAATTAAGTCACACTATTAAACATAATTAATAATTGTTATTAATAATTATTAACTATTTCCGATAGCCATTTTGATACTCAAGTTGAAGATCTGTTACGAGGTCAGGCTCGTGTTAAGGCTTAGATCCAAACTCTTCATTACGAGTGAAAGCATGTGTGCACATATGTACAGGCTATGTTGTTTTATTACTGACATAAACAAACATTATGAGTGAGGTCGAATGTGAAACAAATCATCATTGTGTGAAAAATGCTTTAACTTTGACATCATATTTAATAAATACTGTTATTGAATGGAATTGACTGTATTTGAATATGTGGAGTCTTTATTGTTAGGTGTAAAAAAGTAGTGCTCTGGTTTTAAAGATTGTTTGATACGCATCAATGTTTCAGATGTGTCCCTTTGTATTTCCTGTTGGGGGCAATTTGCAGTGTATGTGGATGACATCAGCTAACAGGACGTTAACATGGAAGCAAGCTGTTCCTGAGCAAGTCAGTTCCAGTGAAATGGTCCCCAGCTTACATTAAGTATTTTTGGCTGGACCACCTCAAAGCGGTTTTCTTGTTGCTGTTGTGCAAAGAGTTTGTAATTCTACCCGCAAAGCTTCACACAGTTTGATGCATATATGCTGTTTGTAATATGGTGTGATCAGTGTGTGTGTGTGTGTGTGTGTGTGGTTGAGTGAGAGAGAAAGAGTGGTGGTAGATGTCTGAAGAGATTAGCTGAAAGTTGTCATGTGGGACACAGTGTAGGTTTCAGCTTGTTGAGTAAATGCTTCGGCTCATCACAGTGAGCATCAACTTTGGCCCTGGAGACAAAACAAAGTCCTGAAGAAAGTTATCTTGCTCTGTTTTTGGTAAGAACAACACATGATGCTGTGTTAATGGTCATAACTGGTCCGGTATGACCTCTAAACATTTAATCAGTAGCGGTAATAGCAGTTGTAGATATCATTTGCTTTTTTGACGCATTTCCATGATGCAGCACATCTATTCTTGTTACTTCTATTGTGATGAAAGCTGTTCCCTGTGTAGGAAATGTGGGAAAATGCATCAGATTCTAAAGCCATGCAATCTATGCATGGAACATAATTTACGTATGAAAAATTCAGTTTCTTTTTTTTTTACTTCCTCCTCTTTGAATGCATCGTGGGAAATCACCTTGCTCCTCTGACTGACTGACACAGTTGCCATCCTCACTGTCTCAGTGCACAACGTTCAGCTTCTCTGTCAGCAAGTTTGCAGCATGGAACAACTCAACTCCTCTGTGGTCACTTCTAACGTCTCCTCTCCTGGACATCCACCTCCTGCCTCCTGGGACTCCAGAGGTCTGGTCCCTGCGGTGGTGCTGTCTGTCTGCTTCCTGCTGGGAGTTCCTGGAAACATTGCTGTGATCATCCTCAGACCAAACTGGGAGAACATGTCCAGTCTGAGCCAGATTCTGATGCTGAATTTGGCCATATCAGACGTGCTCTGCCTGATCACCCTGCCCCTGTGGATTTACACTAGACTGTACGGCTGGAAACTTGGCCTGGTGGCCTGTAAGCTCCTGACCTATCTCATGTACTGTTGTATTTCTCAATTGCCATTTTTCTACCCGAAAGTGATTGTTGTTGTTGTTGGCGCATTATCACGGTGACTCAGGGTGTAACATTTAGGTAGAAAGCATATGTTGTTTTAGATTCATTACTGTTTAATGATGAACAAACATGACTGAATTATGTTTGATGGGGAACAAATGTGAAGTCTTCACTGTTGCAGATATGAAAAGTAGTCATAGTTTTAGTCATACTGTAAGACTGTACTTCCCCTGCTGATACACAGTTTGAGGGTGTGGTTGTCTTATTTGTCATAGAGAGCTGCAGATGATGAAGAATTTTGAGGTTTAGCAATGTCTCACATCAAGTCAACTGTGTGCTGATTACAACTGGTCCTCAGCCAGAGCTGTAAAAGTAAAGTTAGTCAAGAATGAATCCGGTAAAGAGTCAAAGGACCAATGTTAAAGTGATACAGACACACATCAGTCAAAGACTCAATTATTACTGTTATCATACTGACATAGTGTTTGTGGATAGCAGGATTAATTACCTGAAAAGTTCTATTGCACACTAAATACTCAAGTCAAAGTTCATTCCTGGCTTTGGGAAAGCATTTAATCCTATAACATGATCTTCATCAGCAGGTGGAGTTTTCTCTGTTGCTGCTTCGTACTTCCCTGACCACTTTAAAGGGTTACTTTGCAGATTTTCAACCAGGTCTGTGTCACCATGGTGTGGGGAGTGTGTGCAGATGAACAGTGTTTGGCTTCTCCCCCTTGCTGGCAGCGGCGGAAACTCCCCCACCTGTGACGTGAGCAAAAATCCACCAGATTATGCATCATTAAGTGGAGTTTGGCCAGTGAATAGGCGGGAAGCTCTGAATGCTGGTGGCTCGGGGGCAGCCTTAACACTGTTCATCTGCACACACTCCCCACACCATGGTGACACAGACCTGGTTAAAAATCTGCAAAGTATCCCCTTAAGGGCTTCTCAAAGTCACAAGAAGTTGTTTGTCAACAGCTGTCAACAAGTCCTTTGGGTACCCCTCCCAAAATACAAGAAATTTGAACATCTGCAATTCTATGACAAGTAAGAAAGCTCCATCTGCTGATGAAGATCATGCGATATGATTGAAGGCTCTAGTACAGCTTAACAGCTACTAAATGGACCTTGTGGGGAGTTTATTTTGTCAAAATACACCAGGCTGTATTAAAATATATTTTTTAATTACAAAACTCAAGTTACTCATTACTTTCAAAAATAGATAGGCTACATAGACGGCATCACAATGTTCGTTTACAATAACCTCTAGGTAGAAAACCCCTGCATCAACACTGCCTCAATTTGTTAGTTTTTATCCACCTAGTAAAAGGCCCACCAGAACAAATTAGTTTAAGTGAATGCTATATTCAGAATATTGTCACCACTCTACCTTGCTGTCAGCCCTTTCTAATGGGGAACTGAAGCCGTTATCTCAAAGCCACCAGTCTCCATTGACAAAAAACGTAATTTAACTTCACAGAACACAAGAGTTGATGGGCTACTGCTGCCTTTATTGGTTTGTGTGCAAGGTAAAGCAAAGAAAATATTCCAAGTGTAATGTATAGTTAAACTGATATAGATGTTTTTTGGGTTTTTTTGATAGCTAAAAAGTGTTTTGCTGTGGCCTTGACCAGAGCGGTACATTGCTTAGCTTCCATGCTGGTAGATTTGGTTTATCAAAGACTAACAAAGAAACACAGTAGATAAAATAAACACAGCAGAAACATCAGTTAGGTTGGACCCCAGTGTTGTACTATATATCATTGAATGTTAAAATTACGTCTGAAAATGACAAAAGAATTGCCATTTTTCTCCCCGAAAATGTTGTTGGCGCATTATCATGGTGTCTCGGGGTGTAACATTTATGTAGAAAGCATATGTTGTTTTAGATTCCTTTCAGTTTAATGATGAACAAACATGACTGGATTATTTTTGATGGGGAACAAATTCATTATTCTTTATTCGGATCCCCATTAGCTTCCACCTTAGGAGTTGCTAATCTTCCTGTCAAATCATTACAAACACTAATATAAAAACATGCCAGTTATACAGACACTGACTGACACCTTGTCAGTCTAGACAAAGTTACACATTAAAACAGACTAATCCCCCCCCCCCCAAAAAAAATTGAGATTATTGTTGTGGAAAATGCTTTACCTTTGCATCATGTTTGAATGTGTAAAGTCTTAACTGTTGCAGATATTATAAGTGGTCCTTAGGCTTTATTTTTACTTCCCTGAATGTGTTGTGCTGAAAACTGTCCCCTGTGCAGGAAACAGAATAAGGTGAAATGTAATCAGATAATGAAGCACCAGAAAAAGTACAGCCGTGACAGAATATGTGATATCCGGGTAAAAGTTCAATTCATTTGCACCAATCATTTCTTTTTTACCTCCTTCCTCTTTTTACACATCAAAGGGGAACATCTTGTTCCCCTGACTGACTGACACAGTTGTCATCATCACTGGCTCAGTGCACAACGCTCAGCTTCTCTGTCAGCAAGTTTGCAGCATGGAACAACTCAACTCCTCTGTGGTCACTTCTAACATCTCCTCCTCTCCTGGACATCCACCTCTTGAATCCTGGGGCTCCAGAGGTCTGGTCCCTTCGTTGGTGCTGTCTTTCTGCTTCCTGCTGGGAGTTCCTGGAAACATTGCTGTGATCATCCTCAGACCAAACTGGGAGAACATGTCCAGTCTGAGCCAGTTTCTGATGCTGAATTTGGCCATATCAGACTTGCTCTGTCTGATCACCCTGCCTCTGTGGTTTTACTCTTTACTGTTTTGCTGGATTTTTGGCCTGGTGGCCTGTAAGCTCCTGTCATTTCTCATTTACTGCAGCATTTATGGAAGCATGCTGACTGTGAGTGTGCTGAGCATTCAGCGCTACCTCCAGGTGGTGCGCCTGCAGAAGTTCTTTGATCAGCGAGGAAGGAGGAGGCTGGTGGCTCTGCTCTGGCTGGTTGCAATGAGCCTGTCCATCTCTGCTTTAGTGGTCCGGCAGCTGAAGACAGATCAGAACTGGACAAGCTGCCTACCTCACTACTCTTCCGAGGCCCAGCAGGTGGCCGTGCAGCTGACAGAGACTGTGGTAGGATCTGTTTCAATAGCTGTTGTGGCACTGTCATACATCGGTCTTTACAGAAAAGTGAACCAGGCAGCTTTCTTCAACAACCCACAGACGACCCGGCTGGTCACAAGTATCATTTTGACCTATTTTGTCCTCTGGATGCCGCATCATATAATAAATGTGCTTGGTGTGGCAGCTTTTTCACTCAAAAACGAGAGGCTGATGAAGTTTTCTGAGGATGCTTCAAACATTGCTGGAGCACTGACATTTGTGAATAGCTGCCTGAATCCACTCCTTTATGCTTTTGCTTCTAGAAACTTGTGCACTTTGTGCCAAAAAAGGGAACATTAATGCTGTTGTTAATGCAGAAGCTTCCATTCCTGTAAGTTTAAACATTTAATGTTTCTGTGAAAAGCCACCGGATATCTAAAGAGATTGCAGAACCCTGACAACGCTTTGGGGAACTATTTTATTTCTTGCGAAAATGAAAAAAAGTTTGTGGTTCAATAATGAACTTTGAGGTTAAGCAACGCCTCCCCTCAAATGAGCTCTGTGCTGATTTCAACTGGTGCTGAGCCAGAGCTGTAGAAATAGAGGTTTGTTAAAGTGAATCAGGCAAAGAGTCAAAATATCAGCAAGTAAATGACAGATTCTATCACATTTACAAGACAATACCAATGAACTTGGGTTATAATCATATTTTTTATTTCAAAATGTATTTTTCTCTGTGTGTATGTTGACGTAGATGTGTAAAGCCTTAGCTGGCATTTTTTAACTGATAATGACAGTGTATGTCTTAGCATCTTAGCTTTTATGGGAGAGATCCTGGCAGAGGAAACAACAGTTAATGAAAAGACTGAATAGTGTTTGTATTGGAGAGCATCCAGTGAGAGGACTGACCATTTGTCTCCAGTATTTAGCAACAGACAGACAGAAACAGACGAAAATAGAGGTGAAGTGAGCTGTACTTATGATTCAAACAGATGTATAAACTCATTTAGTGATTGATTTATTCATTCATTCTTTTTTCTTCTGTTTAGGGCTGCTAAAAGCTAGACACATGTTCAAACGGCAGACTTTTCCAGCTCTCACTGGATTTTTTTTTTTTTTTTGTTATATATATATATTGTATATATTTTGTCTCAAGTAAACTGTGTTGATGTATTGTGCAACGCATTCTCATTCTGACCTCATCACATATCGGTATTTGTTCATGGACCTTCCATGTCCACATAATGTTAGAGATAACCTGGTTCTCTTTTTGTTGACGTTCAGGGATGCTGTGTCAATTACGCCTGTTACATACGTTGTCTTCTTTCAAAATACACTTCTGTTTTCACAAGAAATTTACTGTTTATATACAGTGTCTTTAAAATAAATGCACCACGTCAGTACAATAATGCGAATGAATGTTTTTGTTTTCCTCCAACAACCAATGCTTGTGGTTACGTTTAGCCAACAAATGCAGATGTTTGGGTTTAGGAAAAAAAGAACAGGGTTTGGCTTTATAATCTTATGGAACACAAACACCACTCTCCTGGGTGAAAATTGGTGTTTGTTGGACCCACACACCACCCCTCCCACCCGCCCTACTTGGATTTTAGCCACTTTAACTTATTTCTGGCTGTTAAAGGACAGCTTTTTTCATCAGTGTCTGACGCCACAAGTCACTGCCCAAGTACCGGATTTTGACAACTTCGGAGTGAGACCGGGTTGTATTGTGACGTTATTGTATCCCAAAGAGATTACAATACATTAATAGTATATATCAACGCGATCTCAGTCCCAACACGTCAAATATCGACACTTGGTTAGTAGCCTGTTACCAATGCACTGAGGTACCCTTTAGTGGTGGTATGACCGGGCGGCGCCATTTTTGACACTCCACATAACTGCCATAGTATAAAGAGTGAGAAAGTCAGTACAGGGTGGATGAGAGGGGAATATCAGTCAAACAAACTCAGGACTTTCACCTGGGAGTTCGCTGTTTGTGTCTCGTTTGCAACCAGAATTCCAATGAGTTGTTTTAATAACCGTGTAGTGTGCTAGCATGTGTAGCATGCTATGATAGTGACCTATGTCACATGATGTATGTGACGTGTATGTCGCATGATGTCACATTACATAAGTAACAGACGTACTCGTTTTAAGCCAAACCATGTTTTTTCTGAACAGAGCACGTACTTTTGTTGCCTAAACTTCAGGAAGCATGAAAACAAAGTTTGTTACCTACGTTTACTTAAAAAAATTAGTTAATATAATCTTTATTTATAAAGTGCTTTTCAGACAGAGTTACAAAGTGCTTTACATGTCAGTAAGTAAAACAGACAAGACATGAAAACAGCAACTTTTAAAAGAACTGATAAAAACACTTTAGTGCATATAAACTAAGGGAAATAAAAGACAGTCTAAATGAACTTAAAACTCAGGTAAAATCAGGAAAGGCTCTCCGATAAAAGTGTGTATAAAGAAGGGACCTAAAAGAGATCACTGATTCGGCCGACCAGATTTCCTCGTGCAAATTGTTCCAGAGCCTCGGGGCCCCTTTAGTTTCCAGCTGGGCCTCTGGAACAGACAAAAGAAATCAGCTGCCCGAGGACCTCAAAGTACATCCTGGCATCTACGGCACTAAGCGGTCGGAGATATAGCTGTGAGAGAGACCATGGGGAACCCTTAAAAGTAATCAGTAAAATCTTAAAATCGACTCTAAAACATACTGGGAGCCTAGAAGCTAAAACTGGAGTGATGTCATTTTGTCTCTGGCAGCTGAATTCTTAACAGTCTGGATTCGACTAATAGATCTTTGAATCAGGCAAGAAAAGAGGCTATGTAAATTGATACGCTGTACCTGAGCATCCAAAATTGATGCTGGAGGAGCGCCTAGAGCGTCATAGTTTGATGTGTCGGGCCTCTGACCATTTGACGAGTTGGGAATGAGAATGTGTTGTATATGTGCACCATCTTGCTTTGTTTTGAATGAACTTTTGTACTTTAATGTCAGAAAGTGTGAATATCAGCGACAATATCATACTGTAAATATATTACAGCTAAAACTTCTGCTTTGTAAATGTTACTTAAATGAAAAGCTCTGTCCAGTGAGAAGACTGATATCAGTCCAGACATGAGTCGTATCAATCCTCTCACCTAATTCTCAGCAAGAAAGTGAATACCCATATTAGTATTATTATTTCAGAAATATTATTAGCAAAATGCACTTAAAGTATCAAAGTAACTGATGTTAGTTGAGATGGATCTTAGTTTTAAATGGTCTACTGTTACTGTATTTTAATCTATGTTTTATATTCTTATATTGTGTTTGTATATAACTAACTGCTGTGAACGAATTGTAGTGTTATAAAAAAATGCAATATTTTTTACTCAAATGAAGTAGAGTGTATAACAGGGTTTCTACAGCTTAATTAAGGCAAGCTAGATTTAAGACTTTTTTTTTTTTTTTTTTTTTTTTTACTTTTTTCATGCCACTTGCAATGAAATCAAATACCAATTTTACAATAAACAAATAAAAAAAAAAAAAACATGACCGGACATTAATTACTTGAGGTAAGGGAAAATTTTGCCCAAATGTTCAAGTAAAATAAAACATGACCAAGCTAGGTGAAGGGCTGGTTGTTCTGCATCATGAAAAATTGATTTAAGACATTTTAATTCCATTTAAGGCCTTATTTTTAGATTACTGAATTCAATGGCTTTTAAGACTTTAAGGACCTGCGACCCTGTGTAAATGGCATAAAATAGAAAAAGTCAAGTAAAGTACAAATATCTGACATTTGTTGTTATCTGTTGTACTTAAGTACATGCCACAATGTTTATTATCCACTTTTTTTCTGTGTGTCGGTCATTGCGGCATCTTCTTAATGATATGAACTAGGGATGCACAAATTATCGGCCGATGATGGGACTTTTTTATAATTATGCATTATTCAGATAATTAAAATGGTAGCCGATAAATAGCGCCGATAATAGGAAGCCAGACTGCTTTCATTGATTTAACACGGGCAGCTTCTACACACCTGACATAGTGGCTGGCAGTACGTGTACCTTTAAACTTGGTTTGTGAGCCGCAAATAAACACAGAGAAGAAGAAAAAGAAGAACTGCAGCTCGCTGTTGTGAGGGCAAAACATGTCGCATGTCGGGTGGACGTCTTTCACAGTTCCAGAGGAAGACAACAGGATTGCACCGAGGGTCTGATCTCCAACCGCCAAACAGGCACTGAAGGACCGTCTGTTGTTAAAGTTCGTAATAACTGATAGCCATGTGATGCTACAGTTAGCGATTATTTGTATAGCTATCTCTCTGGCTGCGTCTGTGTGTGAGACACAGTTGTTTGTTTGTCTGAGTTGAGTGTTACTTGGTAGTTGTAGGCTAGTCTATCATGGGACGATGTTTATAAAGATGCAACGTGACAACATAAACTTCACACACCAGATGTAATGTGGACCTGCCGATGTTCACGAGTCAGCTGTCAGTGTTTGTCTCTGTTAGTAGAGGCTCCACTCTGCAGTGTAGTTTATACACTTTACTGATACACCAGATAACTACACAGCAATACTTGGCTTCATCATTTCCTCTTTCTTACCGTTAACTATAAATTTAATACTGATTAAAAGTCATATTACTTTCACATCCTTGTATTTATCATGTTCATCTGTAGTGTAGGGTTATATGGGGGCAGGGGCGTTGATGGTAGGCTTAATGTTGGCAGGTTTGAAGAGTCACAACTGTTCTTTGTTTTTGTTGTGTTGGTAATAGTGATGTCAGTTTGATTTGGTTCAGTCAGAGCTATGGAATATTAAATCAGCCATATTTCTCACTACATCTCAGCCTTTCTTACCCTCATGTGACATAAACTACAGCTTATACAAACTGTGAAATATCGGTTATCGTGTCAGTTGAAAACATCCATACTGGTGCAGCCTAGTATGAACTGTTCCCCTGCACAGTGGCTGTGTCTTCCAAATTTAACTTAAGAGAATTTCTCTGTTGTCGTTTGATGTTTCACTTAATTTCCTTTATGGCCTGTGACTGTTTAGTCGCTGTACAAATAATTCTCAATAAAGCTTTTTGTTTTTCTTCAACTGGCTTGTCTCATGATAGTTGGCTACATCCCTCACTACATCTTTTTATTCTCCTTTACTTTACACTCTCTCTTCAGCCAGTTCACCTTATGTGCTCTCTTTTTATTAATTTCCGACGGGACTGTAACTGACACTTTGATATGTTTTGTAAACCAGGAGGTTCGGGGAGGTGTTCCCCTGTGTGTGGCTGAGAATAGGAGCTTTTTTCATGTAGTTACTCTGCTGGTCGTGCCATCAGAGGCAGAGGAAACACCTCCATTTACGTTTTCTCCTCAGGCTGTGTGGACAGCAGGCTGGGTCAGCTAGTAATCCTCTTTGTGCTGAACTCTGTCTAGACACCATTGTTAATAAAAACCAGTCCAACTAAAGGGTCAAGACTACTGCGGGGGAGTTTGTGTATGTGCCGTTTGTGACTCAGTGTTTCCCCCAGCTGCTCCTTTGGGCCCAGGCAGGGTTTTCTCTGGCCGGTTCTCAAAAAAGAAAGCATCCCTTTCCCATGCAAACATGACTTCTCCTCTAAATTCAGCACATGTACCGCTGCCAAGATGCTCGCTCACAATTTTTTCGTGATCTTTAACACACATTTCTGGTCATCAGAAGGGGTCTATCTTTACCCACAGAGGAAGAAATCATCTGAGACAGAATCACTTATAAACGTGCATGCTGAAAGGGTGGTGTAGTGGTGTGTTTGTGAGCATGAAAACAAAACTAAAACAACCTCTAAGCAAACTGTTTTATTATTTCTCTGTCGGTGCACTACATACAGTGTGGTGAAAAGATGTTGTTTAGTCATGCAAAGAATAAATTATGGTGTAATTATGGTTATGGAGCCTATAAATCACATCTCGTACTTTTCAAATTATAATTAGATTCTAGTCACTGATTGCACCATGATAAATTCCAACTCACTGCTAAATCCATCTAATCAGGGAGTATTTACAATAACACAAAACTTGTTCCTGTTTTTGCTCAAAAGTCTGATGTTAGATTTATTTTGAGAAATGCATTTATTTGCTTTTTTGCTGAGAGCTGGATGAGAAGATCGATACCACAATTAAGAATATGTCTCAAAGTGTTTCCTAGTCAGGCCTCGTGTGTGTCTGGGGAAATTAATTTGTGGTTTTAATTAAAGGAGCAGTGTGTTGGATTTAGTGGCATCTCGCGGTTGCAGATTGCAACCAACTGAATATCCCTCTGCTCATCCCGCCTGTAGGGAATAGAGGTATTCATGGGTCTAAAATGGGGACTGCCCATTCCATCTCGTGAAGGGCTCATTGCATGAGTGACGTATGTG